TTAATGTAGGAATTTCAGATGAGGCATACAGAAGAAGTCTTTTGGGTCAGGAAACGCAGTCCTCCATTGCTTGGTATGCCTGTTCCTCACATAAATTACATTTCCTCTACTCATAGTGCGAGTGTCCCGTAGAGCAGCACTATATTAATCATTAGATGCAGTTGCAGGTGGAGTCTTGCTTGAGATCGCAGAGTTGTCAGAAACAGGATTGAGATGTTAGGGGACATTTACAGAAATGGGGAAAAAGACACGTGGAAGATATATGGAGATGAGTTCAAGTGAAGTGTGAACGGGTTGCTCGGCTACAGGCAAATACAAGAAAGCATAAGGGACGCAAAAGTACACAACGTTCTGACTCACGTATGGACAGTAAAGGTGGCTTCTGTATTGAACAATGCAAGTTCTGACAATATAAGTTCTTCTTACATTTACTATAGTTTGAAATTGTTTAATAATGTGGTAATTTATTTGTCTTGTACAGAGCTTTTCCAGAAATGACTTTCATGCATTAATCATTCATTCCATAACTCTGGGGTGATAAGTGAATATCGTAGCCACACCTGCCCTCGGGTGGACTGACAATAGTGAAGCTGTCTATCTGCTCCGTCAGCTCCTCCAACTGCCAATCACTGATGCACACGCTGCATTCATAGTAGGAAAAGTGGCTGCAGTGTCTTGCCTAAGGACACAAGAACAGTGTGCACCTGGTATTCCCAACAGTGTAATCAGGCCCAGCCCTTCAGAGCTTCAAGATGAGATTTGGGCATTGAAAAGTAGTACAGGGAGAGAAGTCAGTGATGAAGAGAGGGTGTGATGGATTTGTGTAGTAAAAATAACCTCTGGGGGGTAGACACTGTGGTGGTGAAGAGGAGGAGTTGGACAGGCTGAGGTGGCTGGGGGTTCTCCTGCTGCGGGGGGGATGTAGCAGAGCATCACAATGAAATGCTTGAATTTTCCTAAATAAATGCGGTATTATCGCAGACCACTTATCCTGGTTTCCCTCTGCCCAGACACTTCCTCTTCCCTTCCAGTGAATATTTCAGGATGTTCGTTGCCAAAAAATCTGATAATGCACATTCAAAAGTTAAAGGTGTACTGTGTAACATTGTGGAGGGTGCGTCAAATGCTGTTCTCCATGGAGATGTTATTAATTTGTCTGGAATGTTTCACAGTATGGCATTAAACCTTTCTATTATCACAGAGCTATAAAACCACCACAAATTGAATAAATGTAAAGTAGAGCAGAAACAATAAGATCTCCATAAAAACAAGCAGGTGACAGACCCTCCACCAGAAAAGTTACACAATGCACTTTTAATAGACAATTGCTGTGGTTTACATGATGGACTGAAGTTATTCTCTTAAACTTTTTCCCATGGTCATAGTCATCCGTGTATTGTATTGAGTGTGTTGTGAGTTTGATTGACAGACAGCTGTGTGGCTCAGGTGCTTCATTATTTACTCAGCACATGTCACTCTTTTGTTTGAATACTGAGCTGGAAAAGAAGGTGTGCCCGCTTCTGAAATCATAACAGTTCAGAAACCTTGAACTTTTTTAAAATGCAGCTTTACCTAAACCGACTATGGAGTAAATTCTGAACTGAATGAATGCTTGTTTCATTTCAAGAGGTTAGGGTTATTCAGTGTTTTAATGTTGTTAGTGTAATGTAAATAATTGTAATATGACGATGCTGAGAATGGCACAGAAGATGGTACTACTCTACAGTGTTCAGAATTATCTCAGACGACTTATTCAGGTTTCCCTTTCCCCAGACACTTCCTCCAGCTGAATATAGTGGGGTTTCCATTGATGGCACTTATTATTGTCCAGATGACTAGAATTTTGTAGAAAAAAATAAAAATAGGGTATACTCTGAGAGGGACATAACATTTAAGTAAATATGTATCATTTCAAGAATCCTTTTGCAAGTATTGTTAGAAAATCTTACTCAGTTGAGTTCAAAGAAGGTTAAGACATATTGTAAATACAAAAGGAAATGTGAATGTAGAAATGGAGCTGCTGTCATACACCCCAGAAATAATTATCCAATTAGTAGAAGTAGTAGTAGTAGTAATAGTATTAGCAGTAGTAGTGGTGGTAATAGTAGTAGTAGTTACTAGTAGTAGTTAGTAGTAGTACTAGTAGTTGTAGTAGTAGTGGCGGTAGTGGTCGTAGTAGTAGTAATAGTAGTAGTAGCAGTAGAAGTTGTAGTAGTAGTAGTAGTAGTAGTAGTGGTAGTAGTGGTAGTAGTAGTAGTTGTTGTTGTAGTAGTAGTAGTAGCAGTAGTAGTAGTAGTAGTAGTAGTAGTAGTAGTAGTAGTAGTAGTAGTAGTAGTAGTAGTAGTAGTAGTAGTAGTAGTAGTAGTAGTAGTAGTAGTAGTAGTAGTAGTAGTAGTAGTACTAGTAGTAGTAGTAGTAGTAGTAGTAGTAGTAGTAGTAGTAGTAGTAGTAGTAGTACTAGTACTAGTAGTAGTAGTAGTACTAGTAGTAGTAGTCTAGTAGTAGTAGTAGTAGTAGTAGTAGTAGTAGTAGTAGTAGTAGTAGTAGTAGTAGTAGTATAGTAGTAGTAGTAGTAGTAGTAGTAGTAGTAGTAGTAGTAGTAGTAGTAGTAGTAGTAGTACTAGTAGTAGTAGTAGTAGTAGTAGTAGTAGTAGTAGTAGTAGTAGTAGTAGTAGTAGTCTAGTAGTAGTAGTAGTAGTAGTAGTAGTAGTAGTAGTAGTAGTAGTAGTAGTAGTAGTAGTAGTAGTAGTACTAGTAGTAGTAGTAGTAGTAGTAGTAGTAGTAGTAGTAGTAGTACTAGTAGTAGTAGTAGTAGTAGTAGTAGTAGTAGTAGTAGTAGTAGTAGTAGTAGTAGTAGTAGTAGTAGTAGTAGTAGTAGTAGTAGTAGTAGTAGTAGTAGTAGTAGTAGTAGTAGTAGTAGTAGTAGTAGTAGTAGTAGTAGTAGTAGTAGTAGTAGTAGTAGTAGTAGTAGTAGTAGTAGTAGTAGTAGTAGTAGTAGTAGTAGTAGTAGTAGTAGTAGTAGTAGTAGTAGTAGTAGTAGTAGTAGTAGTAGTAGTAATAGTAGTAATAGTAGTAGTAGTAGTAGTAGTAGTAGTAGTAGTAGTAGCAGGTCTTATCTCTCCCCAGGACCCTGTGGTGGTTCCTGGTGGCAGTGGACGGCTCTCTGGTCCCGGCGCAGACGGCTCTCTGGTCCCGGCGCAGACGGCTCTCTGATGGTGCTTTTTCAACTGGTTCACCTGTATACAGCTGCACATTTTATATGTGCAGTTGTATGTATTTTAGCAAGTCAGTATGTGTGTGTGTGTGTATGAGTGTGTGTGTCTGGGTTGTTTGGTTGTGTGGGGTTGGGCAGCTGTTGGGGGTATGTGGGTGGGCGGAAAGGAATTTGGGATTGTTTTAATCACTGTAAAGCACTTTGTGTTTTTGTACGAAAAAGCACATTATAAATAAAGTTTGATTGAGTTTGATTGATAATAGTAGCACTAGTAGTAGTAGTAGTAGCAGTAGTAGTAGTACTGGTTGTAGTAGGGAGACCAATGTTCAAACGGACATGTCCGTTTTTTGCGTCCTGTCCTGGGTGTCTGGGTTTTTTTTTTTCATAAAGTGATGTAAATGTCCGTGTTTTCATGATCTTTCATTGGGCCGTTAAATTGAGCGTCTCTCATAGCGTCTGTGATTCAGAAGGAGCGAGTCACAAACAGTCGGTCAGTCTGCAACATACTGAAGAGCAAATGCACATTTAACAATGACTTGGACAAGAAATTGTCCGTTTTCCATCCCGGTCGGGACAAGTAGGAGGCCATGTGCACAGGTTGCGAGGTGAGAGTAGCTCAATGTCGAGACCCTCCCCCACTAAGGTGGCCGGATTTTCACTAACAGGAATCTGGTCACACCTAGGAGGTTGTAGTAGTGGTGGTAGTAGTAGTAGTAGTGGTGGTAGTGGTGGTAGTAGTAGTACTATCTACTGCTAAATCAGTGACAGTGCTAAAAAAGAAGCTTGTTTGCGTGTTTGAATCGAATGATTCAAATGCAATGAAAAGACAGAAACTGTTCTCTTCTGTTAAAGCTCCATAGGCTGGGCCTATTTAGCAGGGGGTCCCTCATCTCTGCACCTTCCACACGAGGCAAATGCTACGAGCTGACACCAGTGTCTGTATAACAGAAGCCTTTAACTCGGTCAGTTTGCAGAAAGGCTGTCGTTCATCCTCAGGTGTTTGCTAACACAGCCAGGATGTGAACATGGCTAACAGCTAGCGTGGCCCTGCAGCTGGCCCGCGGGGCAGAGCGACAGGTGTGGATGGCGTTTGCATACTTGGCCTGGCAAAGGGACAAAGCGTGAAGTGCTTTTTGGCTGTTGTTGTTTTAGCTTGCACTTAGCACGATTTAACAACGAGGCTTCAGCGCTGAGAGGAAGAAATGATTGACGTGGAGTTGGCGAGAAAGGTGAAAATACTTGACAGCTTCTTGAGTAACAAAGAGGCTTGATGGGGAACACGGGAAGAATAAGCTGTAATGTAAAATGATACTAGAACTAAAAGACAAAATATGAAGCAAGATTCATGCCTTGACCCCAAAAGTGTGGCTGCAGTTGAGAGGCTGTTGGTAGGCGACTCAAACCTTTTTTACTTTAAAAATATAAACAACTGAACTGGGTCATTTTGAATTTATTTTTTTATTATTTGAATTATTCCTCACTTTCCTAACGCATTCATAGCATCCTAATTCTTCACTGCAATGAGTTTATAAGTGTGTTCACAACTTTCAAACACCAAAGTGGAGTTTTGCTAACAACTAGCATTCAAATGGTGCACTTCTTGTTTCACATATGATAGAAACACTTAATAATTCTGCTAATAATAATGCTTTTACAATATTTCTGTACTTGGGTAAAACAAATTTGACATTCTACAGCCTCTTTAATGTAATAATGTTTATGAAAAGGCACAACAGAATTAAATATTTTATATATATATATATATATATATATATATATATATATATATATATATATATATATATATATATATATATATATATATATATGTTGTTGTTTTTTATTTGGATCTGTCATTCAGCATTACAGAGTTGCAAGTTCACACACAAGTAAATTTTGTAACAGAAAAATATCCACACTCTCTGGTATTCAGTGCAGAAGAAAGATCCCTGTTGGAGTCCAAGTGTGATGTAAGTTTAGACCATGTAATGTGGAGTTCAAAATGACAGGTGATTTTCAAATGGAGCTTCTGAGGATCTGAGTGAAATAAATGTCCAATGTTCTGCTCTTAAAATGATTCATTCTTTTGCATAATAAGTTGGCATCATTTCGTAAATTTTACATGAAAAAATAAAAAAGATTGGTAGCACTTTAGCTTAGGGACCCAGAAACATCTATTGTAATCCTCACTACTTTAATGGAAAGAAAGTAAGAATGGCTTGATACTTGCAAAATACAGACTTAGATAAAAATGTATGGAAAGTACTTGACAAATACTAACAAAGATGCAATTAAGCACTTTTTATGCATTTTACTACAATCTAGCCACTAATATGTGGTCTGTAAATTAAAGTGTTACCAAAAGATTCTAGCAAATTTAAAACATAATTTATTACTACACAGACATTACTAAACTAAAATCCTACTAATGTGTCAGTATATTCACGTTTACATCAAAAAAGCCGGCAGACGTTTGGAAACATGCAGATGACGACTTCCTTTGGGCTCTGTTGGTGATAGGATCTCTGACAAAATCTGGGAAAATTGAGAAAATGGCCTGATTTTCTTCATCTAGATGTCATTGTTTTCTTTCTTTTTTCCTTTTATAAATTGCCTAATTTGTGTATTATGATTTGCCTAACTTAATTTTTTTTTAAAAAGATGTCATTGTAGCTTTCCGTTCTGTTTGGCAGATCTTCAGTTCAAACCCACTGCCTGTGAGTGATTAGATTAATAAGCGATTCGAGTCCCGTCCTCCATGGAAAGCTTTGGCAGGTTGTGAAGACGCTGCTGCTGAATTCACGGTTTTATCACAGGTCCAGTGTTCAGAACTACACCAGAAGTCATCATCCGCACGTTTCCAAACGTCTTCCGGTAACCATGAATAAAACCTGTTGTGATCATATTTAAGACAACATTCCGAATACAGACAAAGAATCAAATCAAACTGGCAACTCTCTAGTTAGTGGGGGTCTCTACATTTTGCTGTCCATCCAAACTTTTGAGATTGGGTATTTATTGTGAATTCATTCACCTTAACATTTTACCACAAAGAAAACATCTGTTTTCAAGTTGTTGGGTTTTTTTTGTTTTTGTTTGTTTGTTTTGACATCTTCACTTTTTTACAGTGTTGGGGGACTGCATTTTTTTTAATCAGTTGCCTGAATGACCTAACACAGTATCCAGATTTTCTTAAACTAAAATCATACTTGACAACTTGATCCCTGTATACTGTGATCACATTTAAGACAATAATAAGTTTAGAGATAATATTATTAATAGAATATTACTGAGGCATTTTCAGACTCTTGTGCGTCACAGAAGTGCAGTTGGTGTGCATCAGACTTCACTTTTCACTTTTAAATTCCAGCTAACTCAGGCTATTTTTAATAGATTTTGGCACAATGTCTGTCAGTGAATGAGGAAACTAGAAAATACTAAGTTAATACCATTTTAAACAGTTGATGTGTATATGAAAGTCATTCAGAATGCACTGTGTAACTTTTCTGCCTTGTCTCCATGGAGAAATGTAAAGGCATATGGTGGAATATTGTAGACAAAGCATCATCTCCATGAACACAAGAAGGTGGTGGCCTTTTTAAACAGAAAAGTTACATAGAGTGCCATTAATGCAAGAAAATGGCTCAAACATATTATTTTCAAGCAAATGAAAGTTAGAATGTTGAGAATGTTCATGTGAAATGGCTGTTGACATTTGAAAAACTCCTAAAATAATATTAACACAAGTTTAAACATTTTTCTTTCTAGTTTCTTTATTAAAATATGCTTCCGTTATGACTGCTTGTTTATAAAAACATGATACCAGCATATGTTGTGTAAGATTAAAAGTGACTGTTTGGTCAAGTAGAATTATTGACAGTGAGATTTTCTTTAAGGCACTTTGGATTTCAGTTTCTCGTTTCCCTTTTTTAGTTTTACCAGTTTCTGTTCAGCCATCCAGACACATATTCATAGACCAGCAGCATCACAGCGCCACCTAGATCAAGAATGTAGTATTAAAACTATAATAAAAGACTGCCAGTAAGTGTAATTATTTGAGTTTTTATTTACCTGGTCCAAGCCTCATGATCTTTGGCACCAGTCCTTTGTAGAGCGCCAAGTACCTGCAGGAATATAGAGAGAAAATGTTAAAATCATAGAGTTTAGGAACTTAGGAACCAATATATTTTATGTATTTTGTGGTACAGTGTGGCCTGGACCCATAATGCAAAGCATAAAAAGTTGTGGCATGACGTTTATGTGGTTTTTAAATCAGAGCATTTGTAGTGTGTGAAAACCAGAAAGTGAAGTTACACAATTAAATCTACAATACAATAAGGCTTAGGGCTACACCACATGTCAATACTCATTCAGTTAGACTTGGATTGTAACAAACTTGATGAATTTATTTTCAGGTTTTTAAACCAGATGCCCCTCCATGCCAGACCCAGCTATAGTACTTACAGTACAGAAGATACAAATGCACATGGTGGCAAAGGAAATCAAACAAGTGTCTGGTCAGGAGAGTCCAGGGTGTCCTCAGACCAAACCCTTCTGCCACTAAAGACTGAGGGCCACAAAACTGATCCGAGGGCCATAGTTTGGACTGATGTACCTGAGGTCAGGTCTGCAGCTCTGAACTCAATGGAAACATTTTGATTAGAAAGTGTAATGTTGTGATTTATATTGCACATGTAAAACAATAATTTATGTAAAACTATTTACATGTGACACTGATTCTAACTGAATCCCAGAGAAAAGCCTAATCTGAGCACGTGCTCTTTCAAACACAAACATCCCTCCTCCTGCACAGCTCCAGTCTCTCTGCACTTGATGAAAAAACAGTGAAAGTTGATTGTGGAGGTCATTCCTCCGCGTGTCTCTGGCTACCTGTCCCTAATGTGTTCAAGCTGATCTAGCTCCGCTCCCCCTCCTCCCCCCTCCTCCCCCGGTCCAGTCTCGGTCCCAGTCCCAGTCCCCAGCTCTCAGCCTCTCAGCCGCTCAGCCTCTCGTGGCGTTAATAAGGGCCAGGGCACTTCCTCCCCACCTCTGTCTGATTAGATTGACCTGCGGAGCGCGGCGCAGCGAGCGCGGCGCAGCTCGTTAGGCTCCGCTTAACGACGCCTCCCGTTGGGACCACTAATTAGCTGGGACTGGCTTGTGTTAGTCCGGGGACTGACTGTGGCATAGGGGGCAGCCCTCTGACCACGGGGTCTCCCTGCAGCAGCACCAGGCCAACACTACACTCCACGTCCTCAAACATTCCATCATCAAAAAGTCTGTGCAAAGTTCTGCTCCAACTTTTACTTTTATTGATACTTTGTAGTGACATTACGCTGGGGGTGTTCTACATGTATGTGCATTGGTGGAATGTTCACCAGTTACCATGGAGACACAATGCAGACATTTTCAAAGTCTGAAATTCATTTTAAGTCTGAAAACTCAATTTCAGGAGCCTATGATCAGTGCAAGTGTTCATGGTCCTATTTAGGAGTTTGATTTTCAACTAAAAGGTGAGAGTGCCTAACTGAAAAACTGTTGGCTAATGCAAAAATAAATAAATAAATACAAAAATAAGGATAATGAAATCAACAGAGAAAACTGGGACTATGATGTCATCAGTTCTTCCAAAGATTAGCATGAACTTGAGAAGTCTATAAAAAAACACTGTAAATGAATGTGATAATGTGCGCATGAATGTTTGTCCTTGGCAAACTTATAACTGACATTTAGAGTTAAGTTTTATTTTAAATATTGTCATTATTTGTTTGTAAAAAGCAGCAGAGCATTGGAAATGTGGAGACTTATTTTACTGGTAAACTCGATCATTTTGTCCTGAGCAGCACTTTGGAAAACAGCTCCAGTTCCGTCAATAAATGACGATTATATAAATAGGTGATTTGTGGATTTGACTTGTACCTATAAACCTTAGTTATTGGATTTGCCAAGTTTGTAGTTTCCCCCCCTTTGTTTGCGTAATATGTTTAGCCATTTTCTAGCCAAAAGTGCTCCACACACTCCAATGTCAATAAACCAGGAAGAGTGCCAAAATATTTCCATCTGTCTCTTTTTCTCTCTTTGCCTCTCGTCCTCTCTGTCCAGTCCAGAAACGTCACCAGATTCATTCACATCACAAATGACTTCAGTAGTTTGAGCGGCCGATCGTCTGTTAGCCCCGTAGTGCTAATAGCTGTCTTGCTAATTAGCCCTGCTCCAGACACTATTAAACGTAGAATTTCCAGCTTACTCAGAGAAAGTGGAAGTACCTGCACTTAAGGGAAATAATGGCTTTCCTTGCATGTATAATTCTACTTATAAAACATGAATAAAAGACCACGGCACAATGTAACCGAACCCTAATGAGGAAGCTGTACGAAAAAGGAAGCTCTAAGAAATGGGAAGTTCAGTCCTGAAATGAACTGGACAAAAATATATGAATTCATTTATGTTGATTTCTAGCAGACAATATATGATTGTACACAGATTCTACGGTTCCTTTTATTACAATTTATTTGAATTTCACTGGATAAGCAGCTGAAATGGGGTGAAGAGTGGGTAAGACATTCAGGAAGATAAGAGATAAGGAGAATGAAGAAGCTGAAACCAGAGCTGTTGCATTATGGATATTTTGCAGTGATTTTACACTGGGGGTGTTCTACGTGTATTTCTGTAGTGGAAAGTTCAGCAGTTACCATGGTGACACAATGCACAGATTAGCAAACACTGCCAAAAACGTTCTGAGATTGTCAGAAAACTCAAGAAAAAAATGTAGAATTTATTTAAGCAGAGCATTTTCAGGAATCTGAGATCAAAACAAGAGTCTATGGTCCTGTTTAGAACTGAATTTTCAACAAAAAGGTGAAAGTGACTGAATAACTGTTGGCTAGTGTCATTTTCTGTGTAAGAGACTTGTTTAACAGCACAGATGAGCTCATCTGTTGTAGTTCCCGCTAAATCATAATTTCTTTATGATCAGACTGTGTTAAAACAAAGCTCAGAATAAAGCCCAACCTGAGTAACAGAGCTTCAGACAAAACAGAGCCTACAGTTAGCATCACTCCCCCAGAGAATGTTGAATCCAAAGTATCAATAATACAAGACAAACAAACAAAACAATTCATTTTCACAGTGACAAAGTTTAGACCACTCTCCTCGTCTGTGTTGCGGTGCTGTGAGACTGCAGAGGGGGAGGAGAGGGGGCAAAGGGGGGTCGAAGAGAAGGGGTAACGGTGAGGGGGTAGGAGGGGGCAGGAGGGGGGCAGGAGGGGGGCTGGGGAAAGGCCCGGGGCAAGTGCAAACATAACATAGATCTTGTTGTAGTGGCCGGGTTTGAGGCTGTCAGTGGGAGCAGAGTGAAACGTCTCTGTTTTAGCATGGAGATGACAGAAAGGCAGCGCACACACGTGGACCAAACCTGCAGCTTCAGCACTCGCCTCTGACGGATGAAGACAACACACACACATACAACAACTGTTCCACACACACACACACAACAACTGTTCCACACCAGGGTCATTACAGAACACAAACTGTCATTCATCTGTCTTGCATTTATTCAATTACATGTTGACATGTTGCAACTTGACCTACTGGTGATTTCATGCAAAAATATTTTTTTCTTAACTGAGACCAAAAATTGCATTTTTTTTTTAACTTAAATTTGGTTTTGAAACACACTGTTTATATTTTAGTTCAGCTGGACACACTTCATGATTAGATGAGTTCAAGTTTCTGATTTGTGAGGGAAAAGTCCTGGGTGTTTGTTTGGTGCCAGTCAGCTCCTGATGATAGCTCCAGCTCCATACATCAAGTTCACACACAAATTGGCGAAAGTGGCTCAGTTGTCTCAGTTTGTCCACTGATCTAAAGGTTGGTGATTCGAATCCCACTCTCAACATAAGGTCGGCTCCCACCAGGATAAGCTCCCACAGATGAATGTCGTTGTTGTGTTCTTGGGCAAGACCTCACCCCTGTGTCTGTGTACAGGTGAGTGGTTCCTTGAAGTAAAATGCTTTGAGTGGCTTGAAGTTGGAAAAGCGCTGAATAAAAATGTGACCATTTACCAGATTTCAGTGCATTTGAATATAAAACTCAGTTTTCAGTTTCTAGAATGTGATGACGTCATATGTCCAGATGGGGGCTTTTTTTTTCTGTTGATTAGATTGCAGTTTACCATAAAATATCCAAAAAGTAAATCCACAAATGTTGAACCTGAACATTTCTATTATTGTCTAGAAACAAGAACAAACTTTGTGGCAACAAAAATATGCATTTTAACTAGTCTGTATCGGATGGAACAGTGACAGTGTGCCAGTATGTGAGCATGTTATATTTGATCTGGTGTGTTGCTTATAATGAGAACGTACATGCACGGGCACACCACTCACGTGCACACATTAACAAAAATGACATGTAACACGTAAATGCATTTTTACAGAGAAATTTATGTTTGATTTCAGTGGGAACAGTGTTGTTGGTGTCCCTTTTTAACCAGCGCCTCAAAGTTTGAAATTAGTTTTGTTGTGGCGATTCTCAGGATGTGTTCATGTTAGTGCTGTCATGCGATTAAAAAAATTGAGAGATTAATTAATTATGGTCTGTAATTAATGAATCTAATTAATCTCTTTTTAATCTCACCTAAAAATTGCTGAGAAAAGCCTTCAATTTGAGGTATTTTCATTTAAATTCATTATTACATTATTGTGGCAGATCAAAAGACTGATATAGAACAAAAAAAAGTGACTTTATAAAGTCATTTATTGTTTAACAAACTTTAACAAGCGCAGTTAGTTACATTCCACAGTATCATCATTATTATTACTATTACTAATCTGCAGTGTTGGGAAGGTTACTTTTAAAATGTATTCCCCTACAGATTACAGATTACATATCCCAAAATGTAGTTTGTAACTTAATCCATTTAATTACTTAAAGTGAGTAACGTAATTTGAATACTTTTGATTACTTGATATTGTCATGCGTTTTAAAACTACATGAATGTAGCAACCGCATCCTGCAAATGTTGTTCTTGTTTGTTCTCTTCAAATTGGCTGTTGAGCCCAAGTCTCCATAAATAAGAAACTGTTTGCTGTAAAGTAGCAAAGACGAGGAAATCTGAACATAATAACTTTTGTCTACTTAAAGACAATAAAAAGTCCAGTCTTTCCTTAACCATATTAAAAATATTATTGATAGAGAAATGCTTTATATATGAGATCACTGGTTTTAGTCCTGGCTTTAGTCCTGGTTTAGACCTGCTTTAGTCCTACTTTAATCCTAGTTTAGTCCTGGAATGGGTTAGTCCTGGTTTTAGTCCTGGTATTAGTTCTGGTTTAGACCTGGTTTAGACCTGGTTTAGACCTGGTTTTAGTTCTGGTTTAGTCCTGGTTTAGTCCTGGTTTAGATCTGGTTTTAGTTCTGGTTTAGTCCTGGTTTAGTCCTGGTTTAGTCCTGGTTTAGACCTGGTTTAGACCTGGTTTTAGTTCTGGTTTTAGTTCTGGTTTAGTCCTGGTTTAGTCCTGGTTTAGACCTGGTTTAGACCTGGTTTTAGTTCTGGTTTTAGTTCTGGTTTAGTCCTGGTTTAGTCCTGGTTTAGACCTGGTTTTAGTTCTGGTTTAGTCCTGGTTTAGTCCTGGTTTAGATCTGGTTTTAGTTCTGGTTTAGTCCTGGTTTAGTCCTGGTTTAGACCTGGTTTTAGTTCTGATTTTAGTTCTGGTTTTAGTTCTGGTTTAGTCCTGGTTTAGTCCTGGTTTAGACCTGGTTTTAGTTCTGGTTTTAGTCCTGGTTTAGACCTGGTTTAGTCCTGGTTCAGTCCTGGACTGGGTTAGTCCCTGTTTTAGTCTTGGTGTTAGTTCTGGTTTAGAGGCACACAGGAGGAAGCGCGGTTTACGCAGCGTACGCGAGAAAACGTACGCGGCGCACGGGAGGACAGCGGTGTCCGCGCATTCTCAGGTTAATGACGATGATGAAGGTGTGTGTGTGTGTTTGTGTGTGTTTGTGTGTGTGTGTGTGTGTGTTGTGTGTGTGTGTGTGTGTGTGTTGTGTGTGTTTGTGTTTGTGTGTGTTTGTGTGTGTGTGTGTGTGTTTGTGTGTGTGTGTTTGTGTGTGTTTTGTGTGTGTGTGTGTGTGTTGTGTGTGTGTGTGTGTGTGTGTGTGTGTGTGTGTGTGTGTTTGTGTGTGTTTGTGTGTGTTTTGTGTTGTGTGTTGTGTGTGTGTGTGTGTGTGTGTGTGTGTGTGTGTGTGTGTGTGTGTGTGTGTTGTGTTGTGTGTGTGTGTGTGTGTGTGTTTGTGTGTGTTTGTGTGTTTGTGTTGTGTGTGTGTGTGTGTGTGTTTGTGTGTGTGTGTTGTGTGTGTGTGTTTGTGTGTGTGTTGTGTGTGTGTGTGTGTGTGTGTGTGTGTGTGTGTGTGTGTGTGTGTGTGTTTGTGTGTGTGTTGTGTGTGTGTGTGTGTGTGTGTGTGTGTTGTGTGTGTGTTGTGTTTGTGTGTGTGTGTGTGTGTGTTGTGTATAGGACAGTAGTGCAGACATCATGAGTCTATGCAGGTTGTTTTCACCAGTGACATTTAAGTTGTAGGCGATTTTATATTTGTTATTTTCTTTTATATTTCACGTCGGGAGAAGAATTTCCAAGACACGAATGTGTTTTTACCTGTGCACTGCTGACTCTGTTCTACTGGCTCTTCCACCTCGTCCATTGTGCGACTGACGCTGCCAACGTTAACATGATGTTTACATCGCTCTTACTGCGCGCGTTTTGTGTGGGTTTCCGGCAATGAGTGGAATTACCGAAATAAAAAAATTATAAATGTGTTGTTTTTTTTTGTGTGTGTTGTTGTCCCAACAACACATAAAAACTGATTTTATAATAAAGCAACTCGCATACAGAAACAGTAAAATTAGAGATTAAAAATTAGATTAACGCAATTAAAAAACATAACGCGCTAAATATGACTGTAATTAAGTCATCGCAATTAACGCGATAATTTGACACCCCTAGTTCATGTAGTGGTGAAATGATTGGAAAAATGACATTCCCACCGAGAAAATTCACATGAACACCCCCTTATGTCAGAAAAACACCTCAGCAAGTTGGATCTTCTGACACACATGAACGCAACATAATACGCCACACCTCAAAAAAGGTCAATGTATTTAGAGTGCGCCTTCTATTGGGAAACGCTGGAACTGCAGGAAATATAAAACTTTAACAAGGTTTATTATTATAATTTATTAAAGTTCAGCGGGCCAGATTAAAGGTTTAAAGGGCCGCATACGGCCCCCGAGCCGTAGTTTGCCCACCCCTCGTCTAGACCTAATCTGGTGCTGATGTGCAGAGACAACTGAATCAGTATTGTGATGTTTGCTTTTGTATCACTTGTTATTGGATCAAAACAAAAATCACTGCTGCTGCAACAAGCTGTGAGAGAAGCCGCAATCTTCAGAGTTTGAGTGGATGGAGGCAGCCACACTCACAGCTGAGGGACGGACCTCCTGAGTGACCAAGTGAGATCACAATATTTCTGTCTACACGAAATATTTGGAAACACTCAAAAACAAAGACAATGAAAAGCCTCACCCCTCCTCTTTGTAGACCAGAGCCATGGTCTGCATACAGGTCTTGTACTTGATCTCCCCGGGCACAGGCTGAGGTCCCTGGATCCGGCTCTTGGCCACGTCCCAGGGGATGTTCACGCAGGAGGAGATGGTCCCAGACACCAGGCCGATGGTAAACTTCCTCAAGAACTCCAGAGTGGGGTCCTGTAGACATGAGGAAATTCATGGGACCAGCAGTACAATAAGTAAACGCTTCCATGTGATGTATGTATGTCTGTGTATGTATGAAGGGTTTTCCAAAAAATGTTTACCCAGACAGGACCATGAATGCTCGCACTGATCACAGACTCCTGAAAATGCCCTGTTTAAATCACTTTTGTGTATATATATATATATATATATATATATATATATATATATATATATATATATATATATATATATATATATATATATATATATATTAGTGCTGTCATGTGATTAAAAAAATTGACAGATTAATTAATTATGATCTGTAATTAATTAATCTAATTAATCTCATTTTAATCTCACCTAAAAATTGCTGAGAAAAGCCTTAAATTTGAGGTATTTTCATTTTAAATTCATTATTACATTATTGTGGCAGATCAAAAGACTGATATAGATTTAAAAAAAAGTGACTTTATAAAGTCATTTATTGTTTAACAAATCTCTCCAAATTGGCTGTTGAGCCCAAGTCTCCATGAATAAGAAACTGTTTGTTGTAAAGAAGCAAAGAGGAGGAAATCTGAACATAATAACTTTTGTCTACTTAAAGACAATAAAAAGTCCAGTCTTTCCTTAACCATATTAAAAATATTATTGATAGAGAAATGCTTTATATATGAGATCACTGGTTTTAGTCCTGTTTTAGTCCTGGTTTAGACCTGCTTTAGTCCTACTTTAGTCCTAGTTTAGTCCTGGAATGGATTAATCCTGGTTTTAGTCCTGGTGTTAGTTCTGGTTTGGTCCTGGTTTAGTCCTGGTTTAGACCTGGTTTTAGTTCTGGTTTTAGTTCTGGTTTAGACCTGGTTTTAGTTCTGGTTTAGTTCTGGTTTTAGTTCTGGTTTAGTCCTGGTTTAGACCTGGTTTTAGTTCTAGTTTTAGTTCTGGTTTAGTCCTGGTTTAGACCTGGTTTTAGTTCTAGTTTTAGTTCTGGTTTAGTCCTGGTTTAGACCTGGTTTAGTCCTGGACTGGATAAGTCCTGGTTTTAGTCTTGGTGTTAGTTCTGGTTTAGAGGCGCACAGGTGGAAGCGCGGGTTTACGCACCGTACGCGAGAAAACACAATCCACACGCGGCTCACGGGAGCACGTCGGTGTCCGCGCAGTGTCTACGGAAGGAAACGTGGTCCGCGCGTTCTCAGGTTAATGACGATGATGAAGGTGTGTGTTTGTGTGTGTTTGTGTTTGTGTGTGTGTGTGTTTGTGTGCGTGTCCCCTCATGTGGCAGGTCACTATAGGACAGTAGTGCAGACATCATGAGTCTATGCAGGTTGTTTTCACCAGTGACATTTAAGTTGTAGGCGATATTATATTAGTTATTTTCTTTTATATTTCACGTCGGGAGAATAATTTCCAAGACACGAATGTATTTTTACCTGTGCACTGCTGCCTCTGTTCTACTGGCTCTTCGACCTCGTCCATTGTGCGACTGACGCCGCCAACTTTAACATGCCGTTAACATCGCTGTTACTTCGCGCGTTTTGTGTGGGTTTCCGGCAATGAGAGGAATTACCGAAATAAAAAAATGTATAAATGTGGTTTTTGTGTGTGTGTGTGTGTGTTGTTGTCCCAACAACACATAAAAACAGGTTTTATAATAAAGCAACTCGCATACAGAAACAGTAAAGTTAGAGATTAAAAATTAGATTAACGCGATTAAAAAACATAACGCGCTAAATATGACTGTAATTAATTAATCGCAATTAACGCGATAATTTGACACCCCTAATATATATATATATATATATATATATATATATATATATATATATATATATATATATATATATATATATATATATATATATATATATATATATATGATCCTGGCTGCTCAGGAGCAGGCCCTGGGCACTCGAGCAATAGAGGCCCAGATCTACCACACCAGACAAGACCCACGGTGTAGACTGTGCAAAGAGGCTCCTGAGACAGTCCAGCACATAACTGCGGGGTGTAAGATGCTGGCAGGGAAAGCAAACATGGAGCGACATAACCAAGTGGCAGGCATAGTGTACAGAAACATCTGTGCAGAGTACGGGCTGGAGACCCCAGGATCAAGGTGGGAAACACCTCCAAAGGTTGTGGAGAACGACCGAGCCAAGATCCTGTGGGACTTCCAGATACAGACTGACAGAATGGTGATGGCGAACCAACCAGACATAGTGGTGGTGGATAAGAAACAGAGCAGAGCCGTGGTGGTTGACATCGCAATACCAAGCGATGGTAATATCAGGAAAAAGGAACACGAGAAGCTAGAGAAATACCAGGGGCTCAAGGAAGAGCTGGAGAGAGCCTGGAAAGTAAAGGCATCAGTGGTGCCTGTGGTGATCGGACACTCGGGGCTGTAACCCCCAAACTGGAAGAGTGGCTTCAACAGATACCGGGAAAAACAATGTACATCTCAGTCCAGAAAAGTGCAGTACTGGGAACAGCAAAGATACTGCGCAGAACTCTCAAGCTCCCAGGCCTCTGGTAGAGGACCCGAGCTGAGAATGAGGGTGAGAGAGACCTACCACCGTGGAAGGTGAGAAACACATTATATATATATATATATATATATATATATATATATATATATATATATATATATATATATATATATATATATATATATATTTATTTTTTTTTTCTTTTCCAGAGTGTAAATAGTTCTGGAATGATCTGGATCCATATCATAATCAATATCTGGAATGATCTGGATCCATATCATAATCAATATAAGACCATGTGATAATATTAAAGAAACTCTTTATATATTATAGTAATGTTTGGTATAGACCATGTGTAATTTCTTCACCCCCACTGCAATAAGTAAAAGCACCAAGTAGCTCGGTTTTATTTACACATCTGATTTTATACTGTGAGTTTTATTGTGTGTAACTGTCTGGAGGAGGAGGAAGAAGAGGGTTGTTTGCCTTAATAAGCCTGGAATAAGTGCTGAAGTCAAATTTCTGTTTTATCTTGAAGCAGACAAATAAAGTTATATTCTTAACAGATTCGTCTCATTAAAGAAGAGATGCTTTACACCAAATGTAGCTACAGCAGTTTCCATCTGTTGTCCACGGGGGGTTAACCAACAATTAAACTACATGCAAATATTTATCCATTTTACAATCTTGCATTCTCCCACTTCTCCCACTTACAGATGCCTTTCTAGGGACTTTGGACATGTTTTTTTTTAAATCATATTATAAATACAGTTTAAATACAGGACAAGATATGACTGTAGTGATATGAATGCAACCACAAAGAACTAACCTCCAAACTATAATGATTCCTTAAAATGTACAATTTTTACTCTTTGTCTCTGATTGAATTGGAAGATTAGATTTAGTTTAATTCCTAAAAACTAAAAAGAAAAAAAAAGTTGTAACCAACTTCATAGTTTAAAGCTCCTATATCACTCAAAGCTGACTCTTGTGAGGTTTAAATCATGTTCTAAAGTTGTTCCCTCCTCAAAACAGACCTGGGGCCTCATTTATAAAGCTTGCTTACGCAAAAATCTGTGCGCCAACCGCGGTATTTCTAAAACTCGACTAAGGTGTGGCTCTTTGCTTAACTCTACACTAACTCTGGACCTCCTGTAAGCTCTACGCAAAGTCTGGAGACACGGGGAAAAAGCGACACTCGTGGAGAGAAGCAGAAGTTTACAGAGTTTGAGGAAGTGTTTGATCAGAAAATCCACGTATATAGAAGAATGACCTTCAGATTTGCGCATTTAAGTGTTTGGTTCGCCAAAACAGGGAGAAGGGCTGTTTATTCCACTCATTATTCTCCACTATATTATACATTTGACACTCGTGCACGAGCGCGGCCACGTTCCCGGACACGGTGTAGCGCAGAGTCCCACAGTCCACACCGCGACCATAGACTTCTATAGAACACAGTCTGTGACCAACACAGAGGACGAAATAATGACCCGACCTGAGAGAAAACTCTTCCCTTGGACGCAGCAGGAGCCAGGCTTTGATTTAATGAACGCAACTTTAACACTTTTACTTTAGTCTTTACGCACCGAGCGCCAGAGTGACCCGAGTCTGCGGACAACACAAAGCCTACTGCTCAAACCTGACCCGAACCTGACCCCAACCAAAATCTTCCCTACATTTTTGTGTAATGGGGAACTGAGCACATGAGAGCTGCTCTCTGACTGTATGAAGAACAGAATAATGCCCGTGCCCGTCCCGACCCAGACCCACACTCACAGTCCCAGACCCACACTCACAGACCCAGACCCACACTCACAGACCCAGACCCAGACTCACAGAGGTCAGACCCAGACCCACACTCACAGACCCAGACCCACACTCACAGACCCAGACCCACACTCACAGACCCAGACCCAGACTCACAGAGGTCAGACCCAGACCCACACTCACAGGTTCAGCAGTTTGGATGTTTCGTGTGGACTTTAATTGGCAGAATAACATCTGTATCCGATGTGTTTCATGCTAAATCTGTGTCCTCGTGTCCTCGTGTCCCTCCCTCGCTCCTTTCCCTCTCCAGGGGAGGGCATCTGAATCTCTCGCACGCGCTCATAATTTGACCATTCAGATCAGCGCGTGCACGTATCTATGTGTATATGCATAAATATACAGGGCCAGTCCACACACACTTCATAGACAGACTTACAAATATAGCGATAAAACTCTTGAAACAGCGAAAAAACACATGGGCTTTACTGCAAAGATGTGCAGCCTAAATATTATGAAATATGATTAAATGAACAGATGAGTCATTGTTGTCACTTTTAGTTTTGTATTTATTTATTAAACCTTGTTTAAAAAAGTCTTTAATAAAGTGTTTGTCGTGATCAAGTGGTGCTGCGTGGAGCGTCCTCCTCCCTCTGTCCCGCGTGTCTCGGTCAAACCCACTGATTATCGGCTCATGTTTAGCGCCTCTCGTAGCTACTAGGTGTACGCACTAACTTACGACAACTCCTGCGCAGTTTTTTTTATAAATGA